AGTCATTAGGAAGTATTTTCTTGCATGTCTCACACAACGAATAAAAATATCCACTAAGTGAGACATTGTCTCACTGTGTCTCACGCCTTTTTATTTGGCACACCAAGCAAACTATTACAATCAAGATTATATGACTCAGTCATCAATCGCTTGATTCAACGCTATGTATCAGGTATTTACTATTTTTTAAGGTCAGATTATTGAATTCATTCCAAAAAGCCTTAAAATAAGCCGAGTCATCGATAAGCACGGATTATTCAATCATTATTTAGTCCTATGATTAGGTAATTAATTCCTAACTTGGTCTACATATTGATTGATTATTGTTGATGTTGTTTTTCAGGAAAGTTCAAATGTCCATCAGTAGAACACAGGTAAGCTCTTGTGATAGAGTCAGAGAGTCAGAAGAAGACAGAAGGGTGAGACCAAGGGAGAGGGAAAGTAAACTACTACTCACGGTAGAGAGAATTATCTTCTGACCTTATCAAAATTCGAAACGAAAAACAATAAAAAAATAAAGTTGAACAGAAACTTTTTTCCAGTTTTGTTTTCCCTCTACTGCTCTCCCTATCCCAGCTGTTATCTTCCCTGGGAGATAAGCTGTAGAGGAGAATTTCGGTTACGCACACATATATATATATATATACTCATCCACTATTACACACACAAACACATAGTGAAAGACTATCGCATTGTTACTGATAACTTTATTTCAACAGTGACCATAGTTTAATCCATTTTTACTCGTTAATTCAAATGCATAAGCAAAAAAAAGGCAGAGCCAAACTCTTCTATTATAATTTTAGCCTTTTTTGTTCTTCTTTTCCTTTCTTCTTCGACTTGAGTTAATCCCCTCTAGAGTAAAGTATTAAGGCGGTTGATGAAGACAGTAAAAAGTGTTCGTAAATTTGACTGTCTGCTGAATACATTAAAAACAATCCTTACGCGTTTTTTTCTAAATAACTTATTTGATTTTTTATACTATCTGAGTAATTCTATTGAAGATGTATAAACATTTGAATAAAAATCGTTTTTTTGTTTTGATTTCCTAAAAACTTTGGTATGAAACAGCCAGCTGTCCAGTTTAGGGTTCCCTGGTTTTCATATGATACTTCTAAATGATGTTGACTTGTGACGAAATCTACATTGATATTAATCCCCACTGAAGTCCAGTACTCTCCCCACTTCTCTTTTCTTTCTTTTTACACGACTTACCATCTTCAAATATGCTGACGAAATGACAGCATCTTTGCCTGTCAAATGTCACAGTGACTGCTCTAAACTGAATGGCTTTCTATCAGAAATCAGCTAGTGGTCCAAGAAAAACAGTCTTACCTTAAACCCCTCCAAATGACAAACAGTCAATTTCACCTTTAGGCATAAATCCGACCTAAACAAACTGGTTGGCTCTCACGAGGTATGCAACATAGATGGCAATGAAATAGAAACCAAGTCGGAAATCAAATACCTTGGCGATTTCTAAGAAAATATTCCGTCTCACCTTCGACATCAAGAAGTTAAAACATTCTGGTATAACCCATCCCTAACTCCTACAATTAGTTAACTCTCGCATTCTGCCTATTATTCTCTATTGTTCCCCGGGCTACTGAAGAAAGACTATAACATCATATTACGCAGGATGTTAAAGGTTGTCAGCAGGGTAAGCAACGTGCCACTTAACCAGTTTGTTAATATTCTGGTTGACAGGCACATAGACTCATGTGAAAAATGGGCCAAATCCATTTTATCTAACTCTTACCACCCTCTCACTCACAACTCTCCCCTTGCATCTATCTCATCAGGCAAAACCAGAAGTCTATATAGAAAACTATGTGCTCGCACCAGCAAGTACAAAAACTCAATCATACCCTACTTAGCTCGTGTTCTGTGTGATAAAGAAAGCATTAAGCCTGACACCTATAATTCATTAAATAGTCAGTAGAACAACTGAACCTCGTCTTTCCAACACACATCATCAATATGTACAACATTTTCTTTCTTTCTTTTCCTTTTCTCTCCTTCTTTTTTCCGTTATTAGCCGCTTTGTTTCTTTCTCTCGCTAACGCCAGTAAATATGACAGCACCTACTTTTCTAACACCTCCGAACACTGTTCAGCTTTGGCTTTGCTACCGACATGCCAATATGTTGTTGTCATAAAGAACTGAGATTTCCTTGATCTATGTAGAATTCTATTTATTGATAATGTACTAACTGGATGCAATACTGTAATAGGAAAAATGCTGAGAATTCCATTGTGTATGACAAGTACTGTTTTGGAATAAAGCAAATTATTATTATTATTATATCAAGGTGAAGCTGATGTTTATCGTAGGCAATGGTTGGAGGTGACACTATATCACAAACTAATAAAATTCGGATTAGCAGGTCATGAAATACAGGCTCAACTGATTGAATGATCAGTAAGCTTGGTTTCGCAATCTAAAAACTCTGATTAAGGTCCCTGTTTTGGTCTTGGGTATTTACCGTTGACGAGTTTTAAAGAGGGATGAAACAGCTGTCTAGCGCTGCTTGATTTTGAAGAACAGCGTTCAAAGATTTTATGTCGAAATATAAAATTTAACTGGGAGGAGTATATTAATACAACAGTCTGCTTAAATATGTTACAGTAAATGTTTTTTTACTAGACAGTTGATAGGGAATAGGGTGAGTCACCTTCAGATGAAACAATAAAATTTTCTAAGCAGAACAAGAAATATAGGAGAATGCATGCATGACTCGATCAAAATGGTATAATTTTCTGTGTACGTTTAGTCACTAAGGCAGTTCACGGTTCACCTTTTGCGTACATAGACTTTGTTCTAACCGTTTGATGTCAGTTACCTCAGCAAGACGCAGCCAGCCAGGTTACTTTTATCTGTTGATCACTTTGAATGAATTCAGATTATATCCAGTATGACCAGTGTTCACTAGATGGCCTAAATTCAATCTTTTTAATGCTTCTCAGCCCTTTAGACTAAAGTTCTCGGCTATGTTCATCCAATTATCTGATAAATAATCAATCGTCTTAACTCCTAATCATTTCACGACTTACATCACTCTGGATGCATGTTACCTGTAGTTCCTACAAATTACTCCTTGTCACAGTTTATTTTTAGTTTATTTTTTATTTTATTGCTGTACATTCTCATTGGAACATAGGGTTTCAAAGTAGGTCTTTGAAGTTTTGGTAGCGGTAACGTGTATTTTTACGAGATAGTGTTGGCAGCCTTATCCCCAATGTTCCCTCTTTACCAGTCTTATTATTGGTTAAGCTAGGTAAAAATGAGTACGTCGGCAGGGGATCTAAACCCGAACCACCTGCGTGGTTCGCAAGCATTCAATCACTATGCTATCGACCCACATATATGTACATATAGTTATAAATCCATGAATATTACAATACAGTAGTCAAAGTGTATTGTGATACATGTGTAATATAAGCTACAAATGATGATCACATCACTTTGTGTATAGAGGTTTAACTGATCATTTGAAACTAGTTATATAGGCCGTACGTAGAGGAATTCATGCGCGTCGGTGGTATAGCGGTTAGGACGCTCGCCGACCATGCACATGGTCCGGGGTTCGATACCAGCCGACGCACTCCTTTACCTCGCTAAGCCAGAAATAATGCTGGTGAAGAGGATAGGTTGAGCATGAGGCTAGCAACCCCATCCTGTAAAATAAGCATTGCTACGGAAACGTCAAGCCACTGGCTTGAAACCCTATGTTCCAATGGGGAACGTGAAGGAAAAAAGAGGAATTCATGTTAACTTATGCGTAGACGTTTATCATTCTGATTTATATACGGAGTGCCGAAATCGATAGATAATGGCAGGTAATCTCGTTTAGTGGATATTGGACACTGCATCAAAATAGATAAGTCATCTTTGGTTGTCTATCGAATACCAAACAGCCTACCTAGTAAGTAAACACGATTACGTCTTCTATTGCCGAATGAAGCTGAAACGACCAATAAGAACAATCCTAGGTTTATCTTAGCCTACTGTAAAGTCATTAAAGATGCACTCATCTCATATATTTTCATGCCTCATTATGTCTGTCGTACTCATTTTCACCTAGTTTACATCATACAATTTAGATATGATAGAGAAGATTTGTAGCTCAGGTGGATGATTTTGATATGGTTGTGTTCTCTGAGTTGGATAGTTTATTTGCGAAGCTTTCATCGCCCTACTAGACGACATTTTTAGCGCATACTTCAATTTGAAGTGAGCTTTCAGATTTCTCCACGAGATTATTAATCATCTCTCATAGTGACCGTGGACGTGATTGGTTGTTTTTGAGGGTGTTTTTACACCTTCTAGGTTTTTTGTATTGTAATTCATTGTTTCTTTGACTTGAACTTTGACCCTTTGTGTGTGAGGTTTCTTTCTTATCGGTTGATAAATTTTGTCAATCTCGATGTGTCTATTGATTGATGATTCACTGGAATGCCAAGCTTCTAAAAATTCTCTAGCATTCTTGGTGTTTCTTATGTCTACTGTTTGAGCGTTTTCCCAGTCGAACTGATGTCCGTGGTTGTCTGTATGTAGTGATATGATGGCGTGGATGTCATGTCTTTTGACGGCTAGCTTATGTTCGTGGATACGAAGACGAAGGGGACGTCCACATTGGGCAATGTAGTGTTTTTCGCAGTTGATATAATCTATTTTGTAGATGATGTTGGTCTTATCTACCTTCGCGAAGGTAGCTGCTTCGGTGGTTCGAGCTCGATGATTAATAAACTCGTGGAGAAATCTGAAAGCTCACTTCAAATTTAAGTCTGCGCTAAAGATGTCGCCTAGTAGGGCGATGAAAGCTTCGCAAATTAACTATCCAGCTCCGAGAACACAACCATATAAAAATCATACAATTTATTATATATCCGTTTCTGGATTTATGCTAAGCCTTTATTGTCCCCACTATTCGTTATCTTATGCTTTTAATCTCTTGAAATGAAAACAAGGAACAAAATTATCCTAAAAACAACTCTTACCTATTCCATATTCTTGTTCCAGCTAGACGAGCATGTGCAGGCTGTGGTACACCAATAAAATTTGACAGCATTAATGACTGAGTTTCTCTAGCACCATTCAACATTGAGACATCATTTGAGTGTTGATTTTCATCATCAGAATCCATATCATTTGATAGTAAACCAAAATATGTTCGATCCATAAATGAAACCCGTTTCTCTTGCAGCCATGAGGTATTCAGTGCTCGACGAGCTGGTGCAATCCATGGATTGATGAGAAGATTTGCCAACAGTTGGTCATATGGTGCCCAATAATCGATCACTTTTGTATCCAAATCATCTCTAGTCTGTAAAAAATATAAATTTGGAAATCACATTTGTGCGTTATTGTTTCGCTTCCCGTTAAGTCTCAGTTAGACTGTTTCAAATTAAATAGCTTCCTGTCGGACATCAGTCAATGGTCTAAACTAAATGGTCTCATGCTGAATCCCTCAAAATGCCAGACTATTGACTTCTCCTTTAGGCATAAATGAGATCTATAATCACTAGTAAGTAATCATGAAGCCTGTTGCATTGAGGGGATTAAAATTGAAACTAAGTCTAATGCACAATACCTCGGTCTAGTTCTATCTTCTGATTTTACTTGGACATCTCATATCCTAACGATCTCTAAGAAAGTGTTCTGTCTTACCTACTACATTAAGAAATTAAGACAATCTGGAATCACCCAACATCTACTTTCACAATTTGTCAACCCTTGTATCTTACCTATTCTACTTTACTGCTCCCCGTTAGTCTTTGCTGGTCTACTGAAAAAGGACTATACCATCCTGAGAAGGATGTTGAAGGTAGTCAGTAGGACTAGTGGTGACAAACTCAGTCAGCTAGTCACTATATTAGTTGAAAGGCATCTGAATACATGCGAAAAATGGTCGAAAACCATAATCTCAGACCCCCAACACCCCCTCTATTCCCAACTCTCGCCTTGTATCTCGTCAAGTAAAACCAGAAATCAGTATAAAATAATCTATGCTCGTACAACCAAGTACAGGAACTCAACGATACCATACTTGGCCCGTGTTCTAAGCGACAGAGACAATGTTAAGCGTGAAACCTATGACTTGCTTTATTGTTAATAATCGTAATTTTAGGCTCTTTTATTTCTCTCTTATTTTGTACTCTATTGTGAACTCCTTCTTAAAGATACTTAGCTACTTAAATTATTAACATTCGCTTACTTTTTGTACTTTACTGTATTCCTTCTTTTATGTATCTACTGGTTCCGACTATATTAGCACTATGAGTATTACAAAATTGTCCTGTCATTAACCATCATGTAGTTATTAGTTTTTGTGGTTGTTTTTTCTTATTTTCTATACTTTTCGGCAATATTAACTGACAATCATTGGTTGTGAACGCCATTACCATCATCTCAAAATTTTGTATTATTCAGGATTACTCACACTTCCACCACAAACACTGAATTAGACCTGACAATAAAAACAAAACCACAACCCTGAAATGTTATTTTATGGTTGTTTAGAGTTGTTTCAACCAAATTAACTGATCATCTTGGCGATAAACATTGTTAAATATCATTTCATAACTTCTTGTATGACTATAGCTTTACTGTCACCATGCATAATCATATCATGGCTTCCACTGCCCAGTACTGAGATATTATAATATGCTGTTTGTTTTCCTTTCTACTTCTTGGTATTTTTTTTAGCATTTTTTTGAGTTTATTTCGGTGTTGTTTTTATATTTATTTTTTGAAATACTCCTTTTAAACGTTGGATAAAATTAGATGCAAATATTGTAGATATGTGCTGAGAATTCCACACTGTACCACTAGTACTGTTTCTGGAATAAAGCAAATTATTATTGTTATGCTGAAAAACTGGTCACCGAATTCATGTTAGGTTAACTTCATGTGTATAATACTCATCTAGAGCTAATTGAAAGGATTTCCTTTCTAATGAATGATCATTAGATGGTTGAAGAATATGGATAGGAAATCGTCGGCCTAAGTTTCGTGACACTTAGCATTCTCCAGTTAGGCCTCTCCGGATATTTCCGCCCCAATAGCTCAATGGTCAACGTCTTTGAGTGACATAGGTTTCATCTTTCAAGGGGATATTAATTCCTTCGAAGCTACAAGATATGCCTTGTCAACCTATCCGAACGGTTTAGCAGTCATTGTAAGGTCGCTGGTATGGCGAGTCACCTATATTGACGATTGCATCCCAAACTTAGCTGATAGAATTCAGAAAGAACCACTGAGGATTAGACACCCAAAAACTATCTACTCGACAATAGCACATGAATGTATCAAAACATTTGGTTTAGGCTACACATTAAGTAACTCTGACAATTATCCAACGAGGGAATCACTGTTCAGAGAATATGCTAAAGGGAGGGGAGATGAACCAGGCAAACTATGAGGAGATAGTTGAATTACATTACGCTCTAGGCCATCGAGTGGAACCTGAGTGGGAAATGTCAAGTCGAGCGTCCTAGGATACATTGGAGGAGATCGTGTAAGGAGAAGAGGAGGAGGACTTTAAAAGAGGGGATAAAGTGGATACATGCTGCTGAAGCTCAGTGTTCCACTTAGAATCCAAAGAAATAATAATAATGCATATTAACTACATGTAAATAACACTAATGTAACACCGGTCATTCAGTAATTATTATTGTCGTTCACGACTGCAGTAATTTTGACTGGTGAAAATCATCCTTAGGCTTGGTTAGTTAAATCAATTACTATCTCGTGACTATTTCTTCTACGTACTTAGTCCTTAACGACGTTGCTTTTGACTTTATTTACATCACAAAAAGCCTTTGAATTCGGTTATGGTTTTGTGCATATGCGCTATTGATGAATGGCGGCAACCAAACAAACCTTAGTTTGAATATTTCCACTGACTTATCCCTCATTTTGGAGATGAAAACCATGCAGATATCTTCAGAGGCAAATCATATTTAATCGAGAAACTAAAAAATAGTGAAAATAACCGGTGATTAATGTATAAAGAGTACATCAGTCGATATAAGTATAAAACTTGGGCACTGTGGTAGAGTATAACTCCGTTATGGATGAGATTTTATTTTGATAAATCACACACTGCTTGTTATACAGTAATATTAACTGATGACGTTTCGAACACAAACTATTGCTCATACTCATATCAAGTTACTCACACAACTTCTTTCCTTCATTTATATACATGTGTGGAATCGACTAGATATTTAAGTAAAAATCAATATAGGATAATGTACATTCAGAAATAATAATAATATGAGTGTTATTGACCAATTACAACCAGATGGGAAATAAGACGAGTGTTTTTATAGTCATAATAAGTTACTTCTTGGAGTGTTGTGATGTGCTTGAATTGAAATAGAATTTTGAGATTATTTATTATTCTCTTCTGATTTGACCGGCGGTAATAATATCTTCCATATTTCTGGTATTTGCATTGAGTCATTTCTGTTGCATGTGTTGGGTGTCGACTCGATGAACAAGGACTCCGTAATCAATCTCTCTCTTCACCTACCTAGATTACTTTTTAGAATTTTAACCCTCTCCCACCCTATTGTGTGGTCGTGTGTTATTGCATGTAGTGCAATTGCTGAGCTTTTTTCTAAATTACTTATCTTCTCTGGGTCAACCATTCTTACCTTAGCTAAATTCTTATGTTCCGACAATCTGACTACCCCTGACCTACTAGTTTGACCTATGTAGTTGACCTTACAGTCATTGCAGGGTATTTTGTAAATTATATTATTTTGTCTGATTGTGTCAACCGACAGGGTCCTTTAACCTACAGAGCTTGTCTCTGAGTGAGTTTGTAGGTTTGAGTGCCACCCTAATTCCTGCTTTATTTAGAAACCTACGTATGGTCTCAGATGTCCCCTCCTTATATGGTATAACTGTAGATGACTTATATTCTCTCTTATTTATGTTATTATTACTAGTCTCATAATTCTTTTTATTTTTTTGGGCTTTTTCAATCTTCCCAATGAATTTTAGAGGATAGTTATTCAACACCAAAGCTTCTTCTATCTGTTTTATTTCGTCATTTAGGTCTTTTTTGTGCTACTTAGTGCTATGGCTCGGTTTGTTAAACACTTCACTAAGCCTGCCTTAACAGTTAACGGATGAGACGAATTAAAGTTTAAATATCTATTAGAATGTTTGTCAGCTGCTTTGGTGGTTCGGACTCGATTTTCAACAGACGCATTCCTAAACCACACTTACACTGTAGTAAGTATGGAAAAACATTGGAAAGTTGGACGTGGGCTAGCAAATTCACTTTTCTGTCACGAGAAATCAACGCCACGCATATTGCAGCTTCAAAGCCTGAAGCTTGAAGCTTTATGTTCCTTGTTCAAAACGCAAATGAATAAAAAAAGGATCATAATATCCCTTCATATTACTCACCTTCCTTAAATAATCATCCACTGTATCTAAATACGGTAGCCAACTGTTACGTTCCAAGTTATTCCATGTTTCTTGTTCAATAGTTGATATTTGAACATTCATACTATTCAATGTCCAAGGCGCACCATTTGAATGATTATTATTATTATTATAACCATTCTTATCTTTTTCACTAATACTCATTGTAATTGGATCTTCATAGATTGCATTATTAAAATTGTAATTATAATTACTAGGATTTGCATTCATATGATTGTTACTATTTTTTACAGTAAAACTGTTAGGCGTATTTGTTTGACTCAACCAATTGATTAATTGTTTACCGATGTATAACATAACCTTGGATAATTGTTTACTATGCTCTTCGTAGTGTTTACCACAGTCTGAAATTTGTCCAGTCCCCTTCTGAATCTAAACAAACAAAAAAGGAAGTGAAAGAAGATGGAAGATGCAGCGATAAAATAGATGGATTACAGATAATCCCCTGAAATAAATAAATAAAAGCAGCGGTTAAAAAAGATGGTTCATGAGTTTGCACTCTGATGTTTGTTGTAAACTATGAAAAAGAAGAAGAGCTTAGCTCAGAATTCAAAGCAGGTGACTAACTTACATCCACTTTAATTTTTATTATATTATTATTGTTTCCTTTAATTCCTAGAGGAACACAGGGCTTCATCCATGCGTCTCCACTGCGCTCGGTTCTCTGCTAGAGTCTTTGTCTTGTTCCAAGTCTGCCTACACGTTTTCATCTCCTCTTCACATCACGTCCTCCAAGTCACCCACCCTCGCACTGAGCACCAACTCGCCGCTTCCCATTCATTCGGGTTCCACTCGAACAATGGCTTGTCTAGTGATGTCACTCACTTGATGGTTTGTTTCCTCAGAATACGGCCAGCCAATCCATCTCCGTTTCTTCCTGCCTATTTGTTTCACTATCGGTTCCTGCTTAGTTGGTTGGTTCGCTCATTGCCAGAGATCCCTTCGTGTTGCTGATCTCTTCTGGCCGGCTGGCCATCTGATCTTGAGTGGTATTGAGCGAAGAAAACTAGCTGTTGATGAAGGTGTGTAGTATGTTTGAGATGCTCTTTATGACGAGCACTGCAAATCCGTATAGTGAGTAGCACTGACTGACTTCACATTGGAGTTGACAATCCGGATCTTATCTTCGTTTTGATTCTGAGTTTTGTTGACCTCCTCCACACAGACTTGAGAGTAGTGAAAGCTTGTCTTGCTTTTCCGATCCTCGCTGCTTTGATATCCTCGTCAGTTCCGCTGGCCTGTAGTTGAAATGATGCTTCCCAGGTTGGTTGGTGAAGGTTGTTTCTTTCAGGTTCCTCCCATTCATGCTGATCGTTGTCTGTTGTTATTGTTCTTGTCCAGGAATCTTCATCACCTCTGTTTTCTCTATGTTCACCTGAAGTGATGTCCTATCTCTAATGCTGCTTCGGTCAACTTGTTGCTTTTCATTTGCGTATATTCCCATTTGTGCGAAATCAGACATATATATGTTATCGGCGAAGTCTAGATCCTCCAAGTTTTTTGTGTGTGTCCATTTGATGCCTGTTTCCTCATTACCCATCGCTGTTTGTCGCATTATCCAGTATACTGCAATCAGGAAAATCATTGGCGATAGTAGGCAGCCAGCCAGCTTGTCTTACTCCTGTCCTCACTTCGAAGGCATCCGTAAGTTTCCCGTTGTGGATTACTTGGCATGCAGCATTGTCGTACAGCGGTTGGATGAGATGTATAATTGCCATTATATAACGTTTCGATATCCTCATAAGGCATCATTACATATTTTCGTTTTTATTTGACTCTACACTTGTAGTTATGTCATTCGGGCGCTTACAATAGTGAATATTTGTGCACACAGTATCTTTCTTTGAAGGTAGAATTCATCACGACATGATATCCGTCAGACAGTCACTGAAATCCATATGTTTCTGCCTTTTTTCTGGAGTCATCAGCCGACCGTTATTGAATTGCAGTGTTTAGCGTTTTTCCCGTTAGGAGTCAGAACATTTCGAAACGATGAACAATGTTCACTACACATGTATTGCGTGACACATATTCTTCATGAAATCAGATTTCATTAATGCTTCTATCGACTGCTATAGACATAACCACTTAAAATTGTAGTAACGAAATTAAATCACTCATATAACTAATAATAATAATTTGCTTTATTCCAAAAACAGTACAGCAAGGAATTTTCAGCATTCAGTACAATATTGCATCTAATTTACTCAAAAACGACAAAAAAACAAAAAAAATTACATAATAATGCTAACAAAACGTTGTTATAGCTGCTATTTAGCAAATTACTGTATGCAATACGGAGAAAATAAGCATAAAGTATAAAATTATAGTAATAATAGCAATAACAACTAAAATAAAAATACCGAAGTTATTATTAAACGATAGAAAGGGTGACACCATAAAATTACAGAAGGATGAACAATGAAAGGGTCGATTCACTTTGCTAATTACATAATAACACGTCTAACAGAGTCTTCATCACATAAAATACGGGCTAAATACGGTATTGTAGAATTTTTGTACTTAGTGGTTCGAGCATACAACTTTTTATATTGACTTCTCGTCCTACCTGATGAGATACAAGTGGAAAGTTATGAATAAAGGGGGTGCAGAGGGTCTGACAGTACGGCCTTTGCCCACTTTGTACAGGAATTTATGCGTCTCTCGACTATAGTATTGGCGAGCTCACGCAGTGGCAAACCACAAGCCCTACTCACAGCATTTAATACCCTTCGTAATATGATATAGTCTTTTTTGAGAAGCCCAGGAAAGATCAATGGAGAGCAATAGAGTACAATAGGTAAAATACAGGAGTTTAAAAATTGCAGGACTAAAGGTTGGTTGATACCTGATTGTCTTAACTCTTTAATGTAGAAGGTAAGACGAAACATTTTCTTAGAAATTGATAAGATGTGGGATGACCATGAAAGGTCAGAGGAAAGAACTGATCCAAGGTATTTAATGCTTGACTTGGTTTCAATTTCAGTGCCATCTATGCTACAGGCATCATGGAAACTAACTAGTTCATGTATGTCACGTCGATGCTTGAAAGTAAAGTTAACTGCCTGACATTTGGAAGGATTTAACATAAGACTATTTGACTTAGACCACTTGCTGATGTCCAACAGAAAGCTATTAAGTATGGAGCAGTCAGACTCGGAAGTGATAGGCAGTGATACAGTCAGATCACCAGCATATTTGACAAAATTAGTTTCGTTTAAATGAGGCAGATCATGTAGGAAGAAAGAAAAAAGAAAAGAAGAGAGGACGGCACCTTGAGCAACACCGGCTTTTGTAAGCGAGGCAGAAGAAGATTTGCCATAATATGCAGTATACTGCATTCTTTCAGAAAAATGAGAATGCAACCAACTCTTAGCTCAGGATCCCGTTTGCGTCAACGAAAGCTTATTTAATAAAAGGGTCCTAGGTACAGAGTCAAAAGCAGATGTGTAGTCTAGGAAAGCATCACGAACATATTTGGCACCTTTGTCTAAACAAGAAACAACATTATGATATAACTAACAAAAAATATGGTGAATGCAAAGTTCAACCATTTAGTTCTACAAAAAAGAAACAAATTTTCCATCAAAACTAAAAGCTATCTTAAGCTGCATTCTTTTTATTCCTATAATTATCAAATATATTATCATCAAAAATGAATGGATAAGATCACAGGAAGAAATCAATAATTCTCTTCTTACTACAGAGTTAAATGGAGAGAGTTTTACGATTCGTTTAAAGCATACATAATAAGCCTTCTACTCTTCAGATATAGAGTTGTCTTATCAGTTGCTTATTTTTCAACTTTATTTAAACAAAATTATGGCGGGAAATTTGAACAAAAAGACTTTCACAACTTTAATCTCACTAAAAAGGGATATATATATATGCACTACGACGATAATTATACTTCATAATAGTGTGAAATATATAGAAAAAAACAGCTCGTAAAACATGATAAAATTTGTTTCGTTTATTTAGGTCAGCTTAAGTTCACTTTCCCGCCACCCGTACCATCACCATTATTGCCTTGCCTGAAAATATATTCTACATCAAAGATTTCTAAAGTTATTGGTCACTTCTTCAGTAGGATTATAACGAAACTGCTGACTTATTTTGTTATCATTATTATTATTTTTAAAATGATGACCTTGGGAAATAAATTAAAGTTGCTATCTTGATTACAAAAATAAACATAAATCAATATATGCTTCTTTTGAGATAGTAAGAATAAATGAAATAGCCTTGATATTGGCAGACCACTAATATTGATGGAATAGGTAATGATTCAAAAGGCAAAAAGTGGAAATCTTCATGGTAGCAGAAAACTTTGTAAAGAAATTACTAGCGGTAAGCGGTGTACTTCTGTCCCATCTCTTAATGTTGATACTCTTAATAAGTCTTTCATAGGCTCTTCTGTCGATATCCTTCCTAATGAATGATACAAATCATATAGACAATAATTTTAGTGGTTTGAATACCACTGATGTACTTAAATGTCTCCGTTCTCTTAAGCCTTCCCAAAGCCTTTGTCCTGATGGTATACCTACCATTGTCCCCAGGAACTGTGCTGATATTTTGTGTTACCCCCTTACTAACATTTTTAATGCTTCCTTTTCCAGTAATGTTCTACCTATTGCATGGAAAAAACATTTAAATTATCTCTATACCAAAACAATCTTCTGGTACCGATATTAAATTTAGGCCTATTGCAATTACTTCTCCTTTTTTAAAATTGATGGAAAAACTACTTTTACTTCGTCTTGAACCTTCATTGAAACCTTTTAATGATCCTAAACAATTTGCATATAAACATGGTAGAAGTACCTTGGATGCCGCGGTTGGCTTATATCATAATGTTGTTTCTTGTTTAGACAAAGGTGCCAAATATGTTCGTGGTGCTTTCCTAGACTACACATCTGCGTTTGACTCTGTACCTAGGGGCCTTTTATTAAATAAGCTCTCCTTGACGCACACAGCATCCTGGGCTAAGAGTTGGTTGCATTCTCATTTTTCTGAAAGAATGCAGTATACTGCATATTATGGCAAATCTTCTTCTGCCTCGCTTACAAAAGCCGGTGTTGCTCAAGGTGCCGTCCTCTCTTCTTTTCTTTTTTCTTTCTTCCTACATGATCTGCCTCATTTAAACGAAACTAATTTTGTCAAATATGCTGGTGATCTGACTGTATCACTGCCTATCACTTCCGAGTCTGACTGCTCCAAACTTAATAGCTTTCTGTTGGACATCAGCAAGTGGTTTAAGTCAAATGGTCTTATGTTAAATCCTTCCAAATGTCAGGCAGTTAACTTTACTTTCAAGCATCGACGTGACATACATGAACTGGTTAGTTCCCATGATGCCTGTAGCATAG